TCTAAACTGGCTGAAAGTCACATAAGAAATTGCTCAACATTCTTTGTCATCAGGGAAATGCAAATCAAAACACCTCTGAGATATCATCTTACACCTGTCAGAATGTTTAAAATAAAAAAAAAATCAATGACAGTTTATGTGGGAGAGAATTGGAAAGGGGGGTATGATTCTCCATTGCTGCTGAAAGTGCAAACACATGTAGCCACTCTGGAAATCAGTATTGTGTTTCCTCAGGAAAATATGAACAAGTCTACCTCAAGATCCAGAAATTCTACTCCTAGGCATATTCGCAAAGGATGCAGATTCATACAATGACATCTATTCAAACTATGTTAATAGAAGCATTATTTGTAATAGTCAGAACCTGGAAGCAAACTAGATGCCCCTCAACTGAATAATGGATGGAGAAAATGTGGTACATTTACACAATGGAGTACTACTCAGCAGGGAAAAAAATTGCAGGCAAATGGAAGGAACTAGAAGAAACCATTCTGAGTGAGGTAACCCAGTCACAGAAAGACAAACATGGTATGTACTCACTCATATATGGATATTAGACATAGAGAAAAGGATTACAGCCTACAATCCACACCTCCAGATAAGCCAGGAAACAATGAGAACCATAAGAGAGACATACATGGTTCTACAGTGAAGTTGAAAAGGACAAGAACTGATGATGAAATTGGGTGCATGGGGGAGGGAGGAGAAAGAGTAGGGAGGAAGAGAAAGGGGGAGGCAAACATGAGGGATTAGGAAGCTTGATTGCAGAGAGGAATAGAGGGGAGCAACAAAAGAGACAAATCAATAGATGGAGTCACTATAGTTTTAAAGAGAAATCTGGCACCAGGGAATTGAACAGAGATCCACAAGCATGACCCCTACTAGGAACCTAAGCAGTAGTGGAGAGGCTACCTTAAATGCCCTTCCTCTATAATGAGAATGATGACTACCTTAAATGCCATCCTAGAGCTTTCATCCAGTAGCGGATGGAAGAAGAAGCAGAGATCCACAGCCAAGCACTGAGCCAAACTCCTGGAATCCAGTTTCAGACAGGGAGGAGTGATGAACAAAGGGGTCAAGTTCACACTGGGAAAACCCACAGAAACAGCTGACCTGAGCAAGTGGGAACTCATTGACCCTGGTCTGACATCTGGGGAAAGAACCTAGGACCAAACCAAGCCCCTTGAATGTGGGTGTTAGTTAGGAGCACTGGCAATCTATGGGGCCTCTTGCAGTGGAATCAGGATGGATCTCTAGTGCAGGAATGGACTTCAGGAGCCCATTTCCCACGGAGAGAGAGATAATCTCTTAGCCTAGATACTTAGGTGAGGGCCTAGGCCATGACCCAAATGACTTGACATATTTTGATGATCCCTCATGCAAGGTCTCACCCTCCCTGGGGAATGGATGGGGGATGGGATGGGGGGATCATTGGGTGAATGGGAGGATGGGAGGGTGAAGGAACTAGGATTGATATTTAAAATAGGATTGTTTCAAATTTAGATAAAAATTTATAAAAAAAAAGTTTATAAAGGCAAAAGAAATAAGAAACAATTGTTAAAGTTGAATTGCTAAATTCATGAAGAAAACTGAGGCTTGAGCCAGGGTGACAGCTCAGCCAGGAAAGTGTTTATTGTATAAGCAGAAGGCCTTAGTTCATATAGCTGGCATGATAGTGTTCTGGAGAATTTGAGTGGTTCCCTAGACCTTTCTGAATGGAGCCTGCATGGACACTCAAGCCAATGGATGAGTCAGTCTCAGCAAATAAAAGTGAACTGCTTCTGAGCAATGATATCTGAGGTTGACCTTTGGTCTCTAAATGAATGAGCACACACAAAGAGGAAAGAAAAAATTAAAGAAAACACACTGACATGAAAATGTTTTGGGGCAAAGACTGAGAAACTCCATGTACAGATGCTCTATGAATTATTCAATCATGTTTTCAAGAAGAATTTGAAACTATGTCCTAAGATATGGCATTGTCAGCAATGGACAAAGAATTGGTAAGCAGATAGGAAAATATAAATAATTGCCAGCTCAAACCACAATTTAGGAGCAGATAAAGTGAAAAAGGAAATAAAATATGAGACAGAAAGAAAAGATTATCATGAAGGGGGAAGATCTATACACTAACATTATCATGTCTGTGTTACTAACGGAAGTGGAAATATTCACTTATCTTTTGTTTTATTCAGCTGCAATATTTTAATTTTAATTATTTCTTATATTTTTTGAGATTATAATATAATTGCATTATTTTTCTTCTCTCTTTCTTCCCTCCAAGTCCTCTCATATATCCTTTGCTCTGCTCCAAATTCATGGCTTTTTATTTCATTAATTGTAGTTATATACATATATGGATATGGATATACATTAAAATATAACTTAGTCTCTATAATCTTAATTATATGCATGTTTTCAGGCAGGGCTGAGCTTTTGGCAAAGGATAACCAATTCCTGAACTCCTCACTGGGGAAGACTATTTATCCCGCTGTGAGCACTTCTTAGTAGCCTGCTGTTATTTTTACAGGGTTGAGGCTTCTTGGACTTTCCCCTGTCTATTCGTATTTTAAATGAAATTTATAAGAATTATCAGTGTGTGAATAGTCATAATTCCTAGGCTAATAGAAAACACAAGGTGAGTAAAAAATTGATCTAGCCACTTACAAGAAAAATATGAGTGAAAAGCAAACAAGCCCATCTAAATACAGGAAGACATATATGTACACGCTAGAATCTAGGAAGGATGGTCACAATAATAACTGTAAGAATTTCAAATGGCTAGACAGGGATGAGAGTGATTTCTGCAGAAAGAACAATTTGTGGGCAATACAAGGAGGCTGCAGACATCATCAATAGTTGTGTAAGTCTTCATACCTCATTCAGAAGGCTGAAAATATTTTTCCTTTCAATGAGGTGTCTAGATTAGTTCTGTAGGAATATTGTTTAGACTATAGTGGCCACCACACAGGGTAGCAGTCAAGCAGGTATGTCCATTACCTACTGCTGTGACAAAATAACTTAGGGATTCGAAAGGACAAAGGATTTGCTTTGGCTGTCAGCTGGAGCATAGAGTCAGTCATGGTGGGAAAGTCAGCAGCAGGAGCTTGCGGCTATTGCTAATATTGTACCCACAGTCAAGATACAGAGACAGTGATAATGTTGGTACTCAATACTCCTCTTTCTTTTCATTCAGCGTGATCTGGAAAATAATTTAGGTGGGATTATGTCTGGATAACAGAGTGAAACTGTCTCTTATCCCCTGAGATATAGGAAGGGGAGAGATGCTCTCAATGGTTATTAAATGCTCATAGATTTGAGCTAGGTCATGATGAGAATACTCGCCTCACCAATACTCGCCAATGAGAAATTGGTTTGGTTCATGTTAAGATTCCTTTTTGAGGGGTATATTTTATTTAATTAATTTTTTCCAGGCTGATCACAGTTTCCTCTCCCTCCCTCCTGTCTTCTCACTCCCTTCCCCAAACATCTCTCCACATCCTCTCCTTTCTTTTCAGCAAATGGCAGGCCTGATGTGTATATTAACCAGCCATAGGATATCAAGTTGCAGTAAGAATAGTTGCAGGCAAGGTTAGTTGATTCTGTGGATTTTCCTGTGATATCCTTGTTCCCTCTGACTCTCACAATCCTTTACCCCTCTTCCACAGGATTCCCCGATCTCTTCCTTATGTTTGGCTGTGGGTCTCTACATCTGTTTCTATCAGTTAGTCACTGCATGATGCCTCTGTAATGACAACTGGGCTAGGCACCAATCTATGAGTAAAGCAGAATATCATTAGGAATCATTTCATTGACTTTTTTCAAGTCCTGATTGGTTCTATACTATGCCTCTGGGTTATGATCCTTTGCAGGTCTATATTCACCTCCAGGTCTGTATTCTCCTCTCCTCATCCAGGTTTTCTACTACTTCACTTTTAGTTTTTCTTACTTTTTATTAGTCAAATTAGTAACAAGCTTGCTTCATATGCCAATCCCTTCTCCCTCACCCTCCCCTCCCTCTGTCCCCACCAGCCCTCCACCTGCCCCCCAGCCCGGACGGATACCTTCCACTCCCCAGGCAGGGTAGGGCCCTTGACGGTGGCTCCCCAAAGTCCACTACATGATCCTGGGCTGGACCTAAGCCCTCCCCCATGTGTCCAGGCCAAGAGTTCATCACTTCATGTGGGATGGGCTCTCAAAGTCCTTTTTTACACCAAGGAAAATAATAATCCACTACCAGGGTCCCCCTAGAGTACGGAGGCCTCCAAATTGATATCCATGTTCAGGGGTCTGGATCAGTCCTGTGCTGGCCTCCGAGACAGCAGTCTGGGGTCCATGTGCTCCTCTGCCTACCAAACTCTATTATCTCAAGATTCATCTCAAGTTTGGCTTAAAGGACATTATTATGACTGTAATTGCATATTTAGCCTCTGTAAGTGGGCAAATTTTTTCTTCTTTTGAGGATACCTGCTTTTTTCTCATATATTTTAGAAGTACAAAACTGAAACTGTTTTAATACTAACTAAAAATGCAACAGTGGATTAATGGAGGTGTCTGTTGTTAAATTTACTTTTAACATTGACATAGACAGTGATCATGGGATGGTCAGATAACTATAGATAAAGTGAATGTTTGGAGGCCAATGAACAAGTTGAAGGAGTTGGATATTTCTTTTCACAACATGCTTCCTAGGGATTGAATTCGGGTTATCACACTTGGGGGCAAATATCTGTCTTCTATGTCATTATACTGGCCTTCAAATACTTAATTTTAACTGACTGTTAGGTAGAATTAATAGATTCTAGTGAGTAAATGAGAAAAAGAAAGATGATGCACTTTGTGCTTATTTTATATTTCTGGTGAAATGGACATTAGTGCAGGAAGAAAAGAAAATAACAAGTTTTGGCACATAGACAAAGAAACAACAGAAGAGTCACCTGTGTGATGAGCTGTATACTAGGGTGACTCTAAGCTGAGGTGGTTTTTAGAGCTGTCACAGCATGGTGGAGCTGATACTTCTGACCTGGCATAGATCAGCCATTGGATCAGAACTGTCCTGGAAAGGAGGTGAGCTTTGGGCAAAGGATGCATCTTTGTCAGTCCCTGAGAGCATTTGACAGCTTCCTAGCACCTGAGGAAAACACCTTTCAGTCTTACAGGAGGACCTGTGAGGTGCAGGGCAGAATTGCTAATATTTTTTGTACTTTTGTTGTTGCTTTTCCATAGATAAGTGTCTATTATCACAATTAGTGAGAAATGTGCTTGTCAGAATTTTGCATCTATCTTTTTGGGTGATAAAATTCAAGTAAAGTCATATTCATGAGTCAGGGAAGTGGATATAGCTAGAAGGTTAAAGTGTGGCCTATTTATAATGGCCCTTATTGTCTAATAGTGAGAGCAGACAATGGTAAGTATTCAAAGTATACTAAGGAAAGGAAAGTATGAATAACAGTTCAGAAAAAGAGCAGAACAGATGCCATGAGGAATTACATACTACTCTACATGATTAATTGCCAAATGAGCCACATTAAGTCTTTGCTGAAACAAATAAAAACAAATTACCAAACTAATAACTGAAGTGTTGTTCTTAAGGAGTTTAGTTGAAGGGAAAGTTAGGGAAACTGAACAATTGGAGATAAGGCTGAAATACTCCAATATAAGAAATATAGACCCCTATCATGATGGTTATTGCTTAACAAGATTCTGGATAATATATGAAAAGCTTGGCCTTATAGGTTATTGCACAATAGGTTAGCTAAGGAAATGATTGCGTCTGCTAGGGAACTGGTAGGTAATTTTCCAAGACTTGCTATGTGGTGACAGAGGTGATGATAGGAACAGAAATAGCTTCTATCATAATGATTTCACTAACCCAGCTCCAACTCTGTTCCTCCCACTCTCTTCTCCTCCATGCCTCAGTATTTTTATAAAGTTTGATCGTGTATAAATTGCTATTATGAGATGACTATAAAGGCAACTGAAATTTTCATAGATATTTGTATTTTCCAGAATGCTTTCCCTGCCTGTCTGACTTCTTTAGGCATTGAGTTAACTAGACTCAACTGGACGTTTTATCTCCAAGTTTATAAATGGATACTTCATTTTCATTCCCTGGTTGACAATATAAGTTAGCAAACTAGGGAGTTTATTTCCAACCTTAGAGAGCCTGGAATGTGAAGTTTGTGAGCAAATTTTAGGGGATGAGTTGAAGTGCACAGAGTTAGGTGTTATAGGTATTACTCCCAAAAATACAACTCCTAGTTATGTAAAAGATGACTCTCTCACCTTCATTTCAAAATAAGCAAGGTGTAGTTTCTTAGACAAAAACAGCTCTGTATGTTATTTTGGGTAGAATATCATACTAAGGTTAAGGCAATGACCTTTTCTCATTAGCATCATTTATAAACTTCCAGAACTTTCAGATATATTGTACTACAACTCTTTCCTCCAACAAATATGTCCCTAATGAAAACTAGATATATATCTCCCTATACTGTTGAGACCAAAAATCTCAGAAAACATGCATCTAAGCATACTATGAATTGTTTCACATGAGGTGTTAAATTTGAGCAAACACAATTCCCATAATTATTCTGTAACTAATTAACTAATATATTTTCTTAATTTATTAAGGCATTCATTTTTCTTCTTGAGAAATGGAAAATCACATAAAATTTTAGTAATACAAGTGAGGTAGTTTTCAAAGACAGACCAAAACATTTGCATAGTCTGTTGTGTTCTGGTTTTATTATTTATTAGGTCAAAATGAGAAGTATCCCCCCAAAATTGAAAAAGATGGCCTCTGGGCTTTCTTTCAGATAAAATAACATTCTTTCAACTATATTTAACATTGGATGTGGAGTAGAGGCTGGAGACAAAAGAATTTGAAAAGCATTTGTCTGTCTTATTCAGTGCTTGGGATAGACCTGCCCAGGCAGTGAGGAACCCCCAGAGCCTGGAAACACCCCGCTCTTACTTCCTGTCCTGCCCCCACACACCCGATCCCTATGAAGGCCTAACTCCTTCAGAGTGAGGAGACTAATTCAGTGGTAATGTGGTATTTGATGGGTTTATTGTACCAGAAGGTGAAGTAAATAGAGCTTATATCATACAAAATGAGTAAAGCTTATCTAGCTTATCTTTAATCGTACTGCCCACATTTTAAGGCAACTAGCTTTGTCAGGCAAATGCCCCAAACACTTGAGAATTTAATGACACTGGTACTCATCTGAGCTGTTTGCCTTTGTGTTTTATTGTTTGCTTGCAAGAAATGTTACTCAAGTTGCTGACAGTTCCTATCTGATATAAACAACTTAGAGATATAGACAAATATATTAGTACTATGCAAAACAACATAAATATGATATCTGGAATTTCATATATTCATTGAATGCTAAAAACCAATCTTAAAAAATTTAAAAATTTTTACATTTTTAAATCACAGGAACACAATGCGATTTAAGTTAAGTTCCATTTATCATTGTTGAGATTAAGTGTGATATGGAAATCAATGCAAGTTGTACAGAAATTAAATTGCATGAACTTTAAAAAAATTAAAATCGCAAAACTATTGAAAAAGAAGAAGTGTAGTGTATGTTTTATATTAACACTAGTTTTTAGTCTCAGAAATTAAGAAAAAGCAAGTTTCAACTATGATACAATGACACCTGATACTGAAAAGCTTTTAAAAATGAGGAAAACAGACAATTGTTGCTGAGATTTTTCTTTGTGGTGTCTAAACAAGCATTCAGTGTACTGTCAAGGCAAAGCCATGCTGGAGGGATTCACGTGGTGAGAATGTGGTAATGAGGAGGAGGCAGTGACACACAAGCTGTGTGAAGCCACATTTGTAGCCTAAAAAGCAGGGAGCTCCAAGGACTTTTATGTAGACAATTTTTTCAATGGGAGAGTAAACAATTTTTTTCAAATAAATAAAAACAGAGAAGAGATTTATGGAAGATAATTAACACAAGAATCCCCTTGATCAGAGCAGTGGTAGGTAAGGAACATAAATGTGCCATGTACAGAGAAACCTCAAGTGAGATACTTAAGTATTTCAATAAATTTGAAATCCTGAAGTTTTGAGTAGCCATATTTGAGAACATGACTAGAGTAAAAAGCAAGATAACAAAAGAGCAAACCAAGAAATAGGGGGGACAGATGGAGGGCAACCAAACAAAGGGGGATAAAGAGGGAGGGACAGGCAGTGGGAGAGAAGAATCAGATAATGAAATCTCAGAATTTCAGGATAATTCTGTCTGTTGCCTCTGTTCTCAGATTTCTAGTCGCACAGAAGCCTTTGGTGTATGGCTGTCACTGTGTCCTAGCAAAAGTTCACAGAAATGCTTAACTACTCACACTTTCCCAAAATCTAGTTTACTGGCACCTGAACCTCATGATTGCTGACTCTGTCTGCCTAGAAAAAACTTAGTGTAATTTTATTATTTTCTTGCATTTAAGAGTAACGACTATGCATCTGTCGACATAAACACATATCATATATTTTAACACTTATTTACATTCATGCCTATAAATTTTCATATTTACTTCAGAAGTCATTTCAACTGTCTAACTTCTGGAATCAGATCAATGTGACAACTTCTGGAATTTCAGGATCTTTTATTGTCTTGAATCTTGATCATCTCTGTTTTTGTTTACTTTCTTTGCTGTCCCTGCAACCCCATGGGTTGTATCTCTTTACTTCCACTGCCTAGAGTTAGGTTTCCTTGCTCACCTGACCTCAACTGTAATTCCCTGAGGGAACGATTTAGTGTTGAACATTATTTCTGTTTCATTAAGAGTTATGTGAGTGTGGCTAATGTTCCTTGAATTATGAATCACATAGCACATAACTTCATTTTTTCAATTGCTTTTAGATATTTATTTTCACAAATCTTTTCCATTATTATGCAATCAAAGGATTCCAACTGACTCATTACCTATACACAACTGCTAATAAAAAGGTCTTTCTCTTGTTATCACTCTTTCTTGTTACCCTCAGAAAAATGTAAATGAATGAATGGTACTACTGGGAAGTCACATGAATTTTTCATTGTTCTACCAACAGCCACCTTCCAGAAGTTCATCTTTTTAGATGAAAAGTTTAATTCATATTTAAAACAATTACTTAAGCCAGCATTTTAGCATTTCTAGGTGAGCTGAAGTTTGTCACCTCTGTGATCATATCAACCCTGTATATTATTGTTTAAAAGGGACAAAGTTGGCAGCATTATTATTCAAAACCATTAGTAGTTCTGTTCAATCAGAAAGAAAGTTTATGAGAATGTAAACATCCTGAGGCCAGGGAGTTTTGTCTAGTTTTCTGAATGCTGAGTTCTCTAGCACAAATTAATTACCAGATAGTAATTTACTGAATTAAATAATTTAGATTATCATTACTTTTAAAATGATGTTAAGGACTTACTTTATACCTCTAGGGGTAACCAAGGGCAATAGCAAAAAGCTGTGTTTTGGGAGTTTCTTGGAAAGGCTTGGCCAGCATCTTGAAAGCGGGCTATTGAAGGAGAACCTACAACAACAACTTAATTGAAACAGCATAATCCCTAACAGCAATCTAAACATTTGTCCTCATCCCCACAGGTAAGTTTAGTTTTCACCCCTCACTAAGGAAACTTCTCTTTGTAATAGAAACCACTACAAACAAGAAAAAACATCAGAATGAACATCAGTCCTGTTGTATACATCTATAAAACACTCCTACTACTAAGGCTCAGGGAGCATTGCAGAAGAAGGGAAGGCAGAGTGTAATAGCTAGAAGGCAATGGAGTTTTTGAGCGTGTGTTTCCTAATAACATTAGAAGCTAAACACAAAAAGTTCAGTTAGTACTCAAGAGGAAGAGGCAGACAGATCTTTGTGGATTTTAGGTCAGCTTGGTTTACATGATAAATTCCATGGCAGCCAGAGCTACATCATGAGACTAACTCAAAAAAAAAAATCGTTTCTGTCTGTTGTTCCTGTCTAATGGTGAGAGTGGAGTGTTGAAATCTGCCACTATAAGTGTGTGCAGTGTTATGTGTGATTTGAGTTTTAGTAAAGTTTCTTTTACAAACGTGGATGCCTTTGTAAATTTTCTTACTTAAAAGTTGTTTTAAACATGAGATAGTAGAACATTATAATGTAAGTACTATTTTATCACCTTAAAATATGGATCATATTGATAGGTGCTTTTTTTTGCAAAGCAGCATATAAAATCACATAAAGCCAATAATGTTTTGATATACCACCAAAAATATGGTAACAAAGAATCTAGAAATGGTATTATTTATGATAGGTATCAAGAATACAGTAGGTAGGAATAAACCTAATGACATATGTAAAATCCTCTAGGCCTTATAATCTTTCCACCCCTTCTTCTACAAAGATCACGGAGCCTATGGGGAAGAGGT